TGCTTAAGCCTAGTACTCTACCAGTTGAGTCACAGGGCCATTTCCAGCCTTTTCTATTTATGTGGTACTGAGGAATCAAACCCAGGGCTTCATGCATGCTAGGCAAGCACTCTACCACTAAGCCAGCCCCTCAAAGTAGAATGTAGATGTAATAAAAGAAAATTCTATAAGCATATCGCTTATCTTTTGCTGGTATTCTTGGAAACCATATTTCTGGTTGTTGAGTTGGCTTTTTCACATTATTTATTAGTAACTGTAAATAAACCATTACTTTGTGAAATAGCTATCCAAACTGAAATGTCTTCATACTGATGAATTTGAATTTATAGTAGCTTTAAAAAAAAATTATTACAGCCAGGTGTCGGTGGTTCATGCCTGTAATCATAGCTACTCAGGAGGCTGAAATCTGAGCATAGCAGTTCAAAGCCAGTCCAGGCAGAAAAGTCCGTGAGACTCTTTATCTCCAGTATACCACCAGAAAACCAGAAGTGGCACTATGGCTCATTGGTAGAGAACTAGCCTTGAGCTGAAGAGCTGAAGGACAGCACCCAGGACCACAGCTAAAGCTGCACAACCTAGGGGGAAAAATGTTTATTACAGAGGGGTTACATTTACAAGCATCAGGTAACAAGTACATTTCTTTTCATGGAGTGTCATCTGTTTCCTCATTCCCTCCCATTCCCTCCCTCCCATCTCCACCCATGAGTCATATAGTTCACTTTCATCAGTGACCAGTGTGTTCCACTGCTGCACTTTGTGTCACCCTTTGTCATTGGATTCTGTGCCCTCACTTCCCTTCCCACAAATATGCATGTAAATATGCCTTATATAAGGTAAAGAATACAGAGTCATCAGAAAAAACAAATAAGTTAAAAAACTCTTTTGTAGCTGGGCACTGGTGACTCATACCTGTCATCCTAGCTACTCAGGAGGCTGAGATCTGAGGATTGCAGTTCACAACCACCCCGGGCAGGGTTTATTGGAGACTCTTTATCTCCAGTAAACCACTAGAAAACCGAAAGTGGCATTGTGGCTCAAGTGATAAGAGTGCTCGCCTTAAGCTGAAGAGCTGAGGGACAGTGCCCAGGCCCAGAGTTAAAGCCCCACAACCGACCAAAAAAAAAAAAGTCATTTGTTTCCCTATCTTTGGAGTTCATATTATTTTGTATATATATGAAGAGGCACTTAGGCATTACACCTTTGTGATTTCTCTCCTAAGAATCTCCTCTTTTGGTCTCACTGAATGTGCGTATCTAGAATCCTGTGTAATTTGTCATATCATAGTGCCTTTTAGATCTAACGTCTACAGATCAGAGAGAACATGTTCCATTTGTCTCTCTGATCTTGGCTTACCTTAGTTAACATGATGTGTTCTAGTTCTGTCCATTTCCCTGCAAATGACATTCTTTTATTCTTTCTAATGGCTATGTAAAATTCCATTGTATATAGGTACCACATCTTTTGGATCCACTCATCAGGGCAGTACATTTTAATTTTTGTCTTTTTTAATATATATTTTTATTGTAAAGATACTGCACAGAGGGTAAGTCCATTTCCTATGGAGCATTGTTACCCCCTCTTTTGTTTTTCCCCTACCATCCCTTCCCTCCCCACTCCCCAACCCCTCTCACCCCCCCTCCACCCGCATAGTTGTAAAATTCGTTTTCAACATACTATCTTGTACATCTCATTGTTACAATGGGTCATCCTGTATCCATATTACAGCATTTTATTGTTTCCCTTCCTCTCCCCTGCCCAAATTAGAAAAATGTATATACAAGATCCAGGACACTGGAGTCAAATACAGTGACAACAGGAGTTGTACCATGGGAGAAAAACATACAAAGAAACAAAAAAAAAAAAAAACACATAGTACATTATAAGTACATTAAAAAGAACAGCAACAAAGATAAAACCTCTTGTGTCCCTATCTTAAGGTTCATTTTGCTTAGCATCAGGTTATATGGTCTGGCTTACTTCACTTAACAGCATTGAGATTCTACCTCATCCCAGTTAGAATGACTATAATCCAGAAATTCGATAACAATAGATGCTGGAGGGGATGTGGCTGAAAGGGAACTCTACTGCATTGTTGGTGGGAATGTAAACTTGTTCAATCACTTTGGAAAGCAGTATGGAGGTTCCTCAAAAGACTACACAGAGTTCCCTATGACCCAGCAGTCATTTACCCAGACAATCACAAACAAGGCCATACTAAAGCTACCAGCACAGTTATGTTTATCACAGCATTATTTACCATAACTAAGATATTGAACCAACCCAAATGCCCCTCAGTAGATGAATGGATCAAGAAGAAAATGTGGTGTGTACACACACATACACACACACACACACACAAATTGTGTACACACACACACACACACACACACGAATTCTGTGCCTCAGAAGAAAGAAAGAATGACACTGCCCCATTTGTTAGTAAATGGAAAGACTATAACTTCTGTTTGTAGACTTCTTTTTCTTTGGGGCATGAGGAGTACTGTGGTTTGAACTGACAAGTTTTTGCTTGCTAGGTAAGCACTCTACCACTTTAGCCATGCCTCCAACTTTTTTTGCTTCAGTTTTTCAAATAGGATTTCATTTCTTTTCATGGCTATCCTCAGAAAACAATTTTTCTGTCTCTGCCTCCAGTGTAGCTAGGATTACAGGAACAAGTCATCATTCCAAGCTTGTTTCTTGCTACTCATCTATTTTGGGGCATCTGGATTGTTTCATATGTTGGCTATTGTGAATAGTGCAGCAGTGAACATGGATGTGCAGGTGTCCTTATCATATCCTGGCTCATAATGCTCAGGGTAAATGCCTAGGAATGTTGTGGCTGGGTCATAAGGAAGATCTATGTTTAGTTTTTTTTTTTTTTTTGGTTTGTTTTTTTTGTGTGTGGGGGGGGTCCAGTCACGGGCCTGAACTCTGGCCTTGGGCGCTGCCCCTCAGCTCTTCAGCTCAAGGCTAGTGCTCTACCACTTGAGCCACAGCGCCACTTCTGGCTTTTTTCTTTTTGCTTATGTGGTGCTGAGGACTCGAACCCAGGGCCTCAGGCATGCAAGGCAAGCGCTCTACCACGGAGCCACCTTCCCAGCCCCTATGTTTAGTTTTTTGAGGAACCTCCAGACCACTTTCCAGAGTGGTTATACTAGCCTATATTCTCAACAGCAGTGCAGTAGGGTTCCTTTTATCCCATATCCTCAAACAACATTTGTTGTTATTCAAAATGTTGGCCAATCTAACTGGAGTGAGTCAGAGTTGTTTTATTTGCATTTCCTCTATGGCTAGGGATGATGAGCATTTCCTCATGTGCTTCTTTGCCATTCTTACCTCTTCTTAGCTCCTCCTCTTCTTAGCTCCCTTGTCCACTTAGTAATTTGTATATTAATTTTGGGGTTAGTTTCTTGATCTCCTTGTGTATATTGGATATTAGGCCTTTGTCGAATATATTTAGTAGCTTTTTTAAAACCACATATGACATTTTATTTATTTATTTATTTTTTGGTCCAGTCGTGGGGCCTGAACTCTGGGCCTGGACGATGTCCCTCAGCTCTTCAACTCAAGGCTAGCGCTCTACCACTTGAGCCACAGCAGCACTTATGGTTTTTTCTTTTTCTTTTTTTGCTTATGTGGTGCTGAGGAATCGAACCCAGGGCCTCATGCATGCAAGGCAAGCGCTCTACCACTGAGCCACCTTCCCAGCCCCACATATGACATTTTATTGACATGATAATTTGCTAGGATCTCTGGTGCATTATATAGTAGCTTTTTTTTTTTTTTTTTTGGTCCGGTCGTGGGGCCTGAACTCTGGGCCTCGGCGCTGTCCCTCAGCTCAAGGCTAGCGCTCTACCACTTGAGCCACAGCGCCACTTCCGGCTTTTTTCTTTTTGCTTATGTGGTGCTGAGGAATCGAACCCAGGGCCTCAGGCATGCAAGGCAAGCGCTCTACCACTGAGCCACCTTCCCAGCCCTATATAGTAGCTTTTTGATGGATGAATTCTAATTGGGGGTGGTAAGTATTTAGTCATGTTACTGAAATCTTGTTCATTGAACAAGATTCTACTTACTACTTAATATTTGTAAGTGCTAACTTGTGCAAGAAACTGAAGGCTATAGGTACATAATAAGTAACATTTGAAGTATTAAAAATGGGCTTAGGTTCTGGTGGCTCATGCCTATAATCCTAGATATTCAGAAAGCTGAAATCTGAGGATTGCTTTTCAAATCCAGCCTGGGCTGGAGTGAGTCTGTGAGACTCCTACCTCCAATTAATCGCAAATGAAACTGAAGGTAGAGCTATAGCTGAAATGGCAGAGCTCTAGTCTTCAGCAAAAGCAGTTCGGGGAATGCTCCCAGGTCCTGAGTTCAAGGCCCAGAACTGGCCCCCAAAAATATAAACAATGGCTTGATTATAAAAGAGTGTACCACAGAGGTAAGGTATAAACAAGCATTAAATCAAACTGAAGACTATGTTTATCTAGTAGCTTTTTCCCCCCATATAGTTTTGTGGGTTTTTTGTTTGTTTTTGTTTTTGTTTTTGCCAGTCCTGGGTCTTGAACTCAGGGCCTGGGTACATTCCCTGAGTCCTCTATGCTCAAAGCTTTACCACTTTAGCCACAGTGCCTAGGAATTGAACCCAGGGCGTTATGCATGCTAGACAAGCACTCTACCACTAAGCCACATTCCCAATCCCTCCCATATAGTTTTGTAATACATAAATTTAAATAAAGTGTTAATATTGAAAGGCTTTAAATGGCAAGGTACAGAGTTTATGGTTGGAACCAAAATAGTTTTGAGCAGCGGATATTGATAAAGAGGTAGAATTTTTTTAAAAGCTTAACTATTAAAGATACTTCAATTTCTTATGTGGGAAGTGCTACATAAAAGTTATATTGAATAATATTCCTCTTTATTACAGATTAGGCAGTACTTAATGTCCCGTGCATAGATTAGTAAACTGACTCATTAAATGGCTTTTTTCCCCCCACTTTTAGGTTGTAAAGTGATTGATTGGTTTTACAAGCAGGATTTATGAACATCTGTTTCTCCATTGAATGAAGTTTTAGGCTATCTATAAGGCTCATAGCCAGGCAAGCACTATTCCTAATATATACATGTAAGTATATATGGTTAATAAGGGTTACGTGAGAGCTGAGACTAATGTTATTTGGATCTTAAGTGTAATGCAAAAGGTTAATGAATGAAAAGCATAAAATAAGCCTCATCTGTTAAGAAAGTAAATACAAATGAAAAAATAAGAGAAATAGACAAGATAGTATAGTGATAATTTAGGAAATTTAAGTTATTAGTTGACTGATCATATTTCAATGGGCTATGACACATTGTGTTTTGTGCTCAAATAATTTGTAATATAATTTGCTGGATGGATGAAGAGTTGCATAGGATGGGGTATGTTGGAAGGGGTGTAACCGTACCTCTTCCATGCCCTGTCCAGGCACACCATCTTCCAGGAACCTTCATATCTACAGTTACCAGGAAGATCCTGATACCTGTCATTTTAGGTTGTCATGAGGACTTAATTTCATAGTTATGATTAAAGCATGGATAAGTGTGTACAAATGTGATTGGACCAAAAAGGGTTTGATTTAATGCTAATAGACTGAATGGGAAACCCCAGCAAGGCCTGCCTGTTCAGATTCTTCTTGGGCTGTTTGTTCAGTGTTCCTCCTGGGTAGGGAGCAGGTTTGTTCAGTGTTCCTCCTGAGTAGAGAGCAGGTCCCCTTCTGAAATGAGTGCCTGCTATCTCCATCTAAAGATGGGAAAATTTAGAGTATATTTTTGGTTTTGAAGTTTCTGTGGTTAGACTTGGGGTGAAAAGGATAAAAGCATCCGTGAAAGGCAAGCAAGAAGGTCAGAGAAAAGCTTGCTTACTGTGGTTTATGGTGAACCATTTTTGTCACTTAGGGAGAGAAGCTATGGGAATAATGAGCCAGGAACTATGGGGAAAAAAATCAAAACATGTATTATATTGTTAGAGATGCTCATGTATATTGTCAAACATAGCATCAAAATTGGTGCATTATAAATTTTGTATTGGGCTGTTTTATATTTGGACACTAATGAATTCTGTTAGGGATAAATAATATATTAGATGATTTACATTTCTAAAAAACTGGACTAAAAGTTGAGGTTTCTGAAGCTTTAATCTAGGACCACTTAGTCAATAAGGTTTTGAAAATTTCCTTACAAAAATAATTTGTGTCTCCTAGAACAACTAATATATGCAAATAAAATTTTTTATTTTAAAAAGGAAAAAAATCATTTAAGCCTGGAGTTGGTGGTACATGCATGCCTACATTCCACCTGTAATTGCAGCACTCAGGAAGCTGAGGCAGGATAGACTAGCCTGTGCTGATAGTGAGGCCTTGTCTCCATTAAACACAACTTAAATAATTTGTTTTCATTTAGGTGTTCACATGCCTCCCAGTGCTTCCTATATTAAAATTCATGTAAATCTCCAAATCTAAACACCTAATGAATTTTATTTTCTGTGATTTTTAAAAAAATATACATGCCTTAAAAAAATGTCCAATTAAATTTTGACTCTTTTTTCTTCAAAAAAGGAAAGTAATGTGTCAGTTGGTAAATTTTTGGGTTGCCTGACTGATGCCAGTGCTTGGTTAATGGTAGATATAGGAAAGAGCAACAGTTCTGTTTCTGATTGGTTCTGGACAAATTTTAAAGTGCTTTTAATTAAATTGTCCACAGTTAATTTGACTTCAACCCCATCATGTCTTTCTGTTAAGACAATGATGAAAAAACTCAACAATACATTTCCTTTTGGTCACATGTATGAAACTGGAAGAATTCATTTTCTGTTAAAGTCTTGTGTGTTCCCTAGGTTTGCAGCCTACCAAGTGCATGTTAACACATGAATAATCCAGATGGCTAAGCTGTTGGAGGATATAAAACCAAACTTGTTTCAGGAATCTCCATTGATCCACTTTCTTCATCTTTGGATAATATCCATTCTAATTAGTAGTGACTGTCTCAATTTGTCTTAAATTTAATTTTTAACTGCATGTTTTCTTGATTTTTACCTTAGGTTACAAAATGTCCTATGCTTGAGATCTACAGACAACATGTCCTACAGGAACTAATCAGTGGTCTTTCATCTCCTGGAGATACATTAGAAGCATAAATATGGTGCCAAAGGAACTCCTTATCTTTCTCTGACTACAGTTTATTTGGACATACTTTTGTATTTGAAGAGAGGCATACAAACTGAGGTTACTCATTGTGCAAAGACTCTGTTGTATAGGATCATGGACCATCCTGGTAGGGAAAAGGATGAAAGACAACGAACAACTAAACCCATGGCACAAAGGAGTGCACATTGCTCCCGATCTTCTGGCACGTCATCATCCTCTGGGGTTCTCATGGTGGGACCCAACTTCAGGGTTGGCAAGAAGATAGGGTGTGGTAACTTCGGAGAGCTCAGATTAGGTAAGAACTTGGTTGTGTCCTTTGCTTCCATTAGCTTCAATAACAATAAGTTTCAAGACAAGTAATTTATAACTCTATGGCCAGTTTCTCTTTAAGTAGAAACAAATGGCATAAGAAATGAAGAATTTGTGGAATAGGCTGTAGTAATTTTTAATCATAATTTTATTGTCCAAGGTTCATTTCTCTTCTCTCTGTGCTTTTTTTAAACTTTCCACTAGTTCTGCGATTTTGTGATACCAGGAGATTTGTTTGCAAATTCTGATATAGAAGGTTTGATGTAGAACCTGAATTTGAGTTTTTAACAAATTTTCATGTAATGCAGATGAGTTTGATTCTTTTAATTCTTTTTATTTTAAAAACTATGGATCACCTCACAAATTTATGTATCATTTTTGTACAGGGGCCATGCTAATTTTCTTGCATCATTTCAGTTTTAGTATATGTGTAGCATGGTTGTTTGATTCTTGAGTTACAGTTGAAGAAGGGACTAAGCCAGGAATTGGTGATGGCCACTGTTAACACCAGCACTCTTACTACTTAGTGAAAACACTGTCTCAAAAAAAAAAAAATTCAGATTCTACCCCTGGAAGAGGAGTAAATCTTTACTCAGTAATTTAGTTAGAGAGATTTTCCAGTGCATACTACTTGCTTTTCTCCTAGAGTTCTCAACATTAGGATTGAGTTAAAACTCCAAGAAAAATTTCTGCATTTTTACTTCCCAACCAAAAAATTTGCTATTTCAGGTTTGATTTTATGTGTAAGATGATGAATCATAACACATACCAACATGTTTAAAGATTGGAGATGGAGAAGGCATAGTAGGTAATTATATAATGGGCCACTCTACTTGAGAAGAGAAAATGAAAGACTTTTTTGTCGGTCATGGTTCTTGAACTCTGGGCCTGGGTGCTCTCCTTGAGCTGAAGAGCTCAAGGCTAGCATTCTACCACTTGAGCCACGGCACCACTTCCAGTTTTCTGGTGGTTAATTAGAGATAAGAGTCTCACGGACTTTCCTGCCCGGGCTGGCTTTGAACTGGGATCCTCAGATCTCAGCCTCCTGAGTAGCTTGGATTACAGTATTGAGCCACCAGCACCAGGCATGAAAGACTTTATATAAAGTGATCAGCTTATGGAATGTGCATAGGTCTCCTTGTAGGCTACAGTATTTCCTTCAGCTATTGAATCTATAAATTATAAATACTCATTGTAAGAAGCTTTGGCTTTTGGATGAGTGGGAAGAACGGAACATGAAATTAATACTGTTTCATACCTCTGTTACTTCTGATGATCTTGCAAAAGAAGAAGGAAAAACCATCTGATTACCTGTAGAGAGCTCTGGGGGAAATGTCATTATACTAAACAGCACTGGGTACAGAATTAAATTTAAGGATGCTTACAATGAAGGCTAGCAACCTGGAATTGGACCTGACTAGGATAATGAAAGGCTCTTTCTATTTAGAGATATGTTCATGTTCGAGTTAGGAAAGCCAGCAGATGCTACTGAGAATAGGAGTAAGATGTGTAATTTCACACTGCATGACTTCCTAGCAACTACTCAGTTGCTTTGGCAACAAGTTTTGCAAACATTCATTTATGTAATGGTTTTACTTTGTTTCAACATCACAGTACTACAAGCATCAAAGAGATGATGGAATAAACATCTACAAAATTATTGCTGAGAGATAGTTTGTAATGTGTATAAACTTGTACATTCTCCTAACAACAGATAATTGTTTAAATTCTGTGAAAGTGAAGAAAAACCTTGGATAGTGAATAATCACTGGAGGCTAAGGTTATACTAACAAGTTTACATGAAAATGGAAAAATCCACTCAATTAATAGGATAAACTTGTGGTTCATTTATACTTTAGAATATGTATACATTAGAGGATGTTTTGTTTTTGTTTTTAGTCTTCTGTGTTGCCCAGATTGGCCTCAGACTCACTATGTATAACCCAGTATGTAATCGACTATGTAAACCCACTATGTAATCCATTCTCCTGCCTTTCCTCTTGAGTGTTGGGAATGTGAATGTTCACTACCATGCTGTACTGATATTTGTCGTTTTATTGTTGTTTTTTTTTGTCAGTGATGGAGCTTGAACTCTGGGCCTGGGCATTGTCCCTCAGCTCTTCAGCTTAAGGCTAGCGCTCTACCACTTGAGCCACAGTGCCACTTCCACTTCCAGTTTTCTGGTAGTTAATTGAAGATAAGAGTCTCACGGACTTTTTTTTTTTTGGGGGGGGGGGGGTCTGGTTGTGGGGCCTGAACTCTGGGCCTGGGCGCTGTCCTTCAGCTCTTCAGCTCAAGGCTAGCACTCTACCACTTGAGCCACAGCGCTACTTCCAGCTTTTTTCTTTTTGCTTATGTGGTGCTGAGGAATCGAACCCAGGGCCTCAGGCATGCAAGGCTAGCGCTCTACCACAGCCATCTTCTCAGCTCTCTCACGGACTTTCTTGCTTGGGCTGGCTTTGAACTGCAATACTCAGATCTCAGCCTCCTGGTAGCTAGGATTACAGGCGTGAGTCACCTGCGCCCGGCTGATATTTCTCATTTTGACTTGCTGTGTTATTTTTTTTCCAGTCCTGGGGTTTGAGCTCAGGACCTGGGCACTGTCCCTGAGATTCTTTTGCTCAAGACTAGCACTCTGCCACTTAAGCCACAGCACCACTTCTGGCTTTTTCTATTTATGTGGGACTAAGGAATCAAACCCAGGACTTTATGCATGCTAGAGAAGCACTGTACCATTAAGCCATATTCCCAGCCCATGACTATTCTTGTGTGCTTATCTGCCTTTATTAGCCCATAAGTAGAAAGGTACTTTTAGAATAATTTGGCACCCATTGAACACTAGAGTGGGCCATGTACCCTATTTTTATAATTTTCTTTTCTATGTATGAGTAAGCAGAAGATTGTATAGATAACAGCAAATATAAACTAAGAGATACCAAGGAGGCTCAGGTAGGCCTTCACATGACCACCTCATTGGTACAAAGCCCTACTTCTCTAAACTCATTTCCTTTTCTGGTGATTGATACTTTCATATATCTTTCGTTCGTTCTTTTCTTTCCTTCCTTCCTTCCTTTCTCTCTCTCTCTTTCTTTCTCTCTCCTTCCTTCCTCTCTCTCTCTCTCTCTCCCTTCTTTCCTTGTGCTGTGGCTTAAATTCAGTTGGCTTTTTCCACTCAAGGCTAGTGCTCTACCACTTGAGCCACACTTCCACTTCTGCCTTTTCTGGCTCTTTGGTGATTAATTGGAGATGAGTCTCATGGGGTTTTTCTTTCTTGGCATGCCTTCTAATCAGGATCCTCAGATCTTAGTCTCCAGTGCTCTACCACTTGAACCACACCTCCACTTCTGCCTTTTCTGGCTTTTTGGTGATTAATTGGAGAAGAGTCTCATGGGGTTTTTCTTTCTTGGCCTGCCTTCTAATCAGGATCCTCAGATCTTAGTCTCTAGAGTAGCTAGGATTGCAATGTGAACCACCAGGTCCTGGTACCAAGTATATTCCTGCTTTAATTCTCTGGGATGGAAAATTCTTTCCCTAAAATCTTGCATAGTTGTTGGTTCCTATTTTGTTGTTGTTGTTGCTGTTTTTGCCAGTCCTAGAGCTTGAACTCAGGGTCTGGGCACTGTCCCTGAGCTGCTTTTACTCAAGGCTAGCATTCCACCACTTCAGTCACAGTGCCACTTCTGGCCTTTTCTGTTTATGTGGTACTGAGGAATCGAACCCTGGGCTTCATGCATGCTAGGCAAGCACTTTACCAGGAAGACACATTCTCAGCCCCTTGTTTCCTATTGTTGAGGTTTAGCTTATCATCTTTTTAGAGGCTATTTTGTTCTTGTAACTTCTTCCTCACTCCCATTTAAATGAGTACTTCCCACTCCCCACCCCACCCCACCCCTACCCCTGGCATCATGGGCCTCAAACTCTGGGCCTAGGCACTGTCCCTCAGATCTTCAGCTCAAGGTGAGCACTCTACCACTTGAGCCACAGTGCCACTTCATTTTCTGGTGGTTTATTGGAGATGAGTTTCATGGACTTTCCTGCCTGGGCTGATTTCAAGTCTGAGTAGCTAGGATTATAGGCATGAGCCACCAGCACCCGGCTAAATGAGTACATTTCTTCTCTAGCATCTATCTAGCATATTCTGCCTCACCAAACTGCTTTCTTTTTTTTTTTTTTGGTCAGTCATGGGGCTTCATCGCTGGGCCTGGGTGTTGTCCCTCAGCTATTCAGCTTAAGGCTAGTGCTCTACCACTTGAGCCACAGGGCCACTTCTGGTTTTCTGGTGGTTAATTGGAGATAAGAGTCTCACTGATGGGCTGGGAAGGTGGCTCAGTGGTAGAGCGCTTGCCTTGCACACATGAGGCCCTGGGTTCGATTCCTCAGCACCACATAAGCAAAAAGAAAAAAAAAGCCGGAAGTGGCGCTGTGGCTCAAGTGGTAGAGTGCTAGCCTTGAGCTGAAGAGCTGAGGGACAACGCCCAGGCCCAGAGTTCAGGCCCCACGACCGGACCCAAAAAAAAAAAAAAAAAAGAGTCTCACTGACTTTCCTGCCTGGGCTGTCATCCTCAGTTCTCAGCCTCCTGAGTAGTTAGGATTATAGGAGTCAGCCACGGTGCCCTGCTCCAAACTGCTTTTTTATAGCTGTTTGTTTACTTACTTTTTTTTTTTTTTGCAACAGTCGCAAATTCCTTTCTTGAATTCTTCACATTGGTAACTATAACTTTCTGAAATAATTTTGTATATTTATTTACTAGTTAAGACCTTCTCCTTACATGGCTACAATTCTTTTGGAGTGCAGGAATTCTTTTTATATAACTTATTGTAATAGATGAGATAGAGTGTTAGATGGCTAGACAAAGAAGGGAACAAATTAAAAGTATATAGTCAGGCGCTGATGGCTCAAGCCTGTAATCCTAACTGCTCAGGAGGCTGAGACCTGAGGATCGAGGTTCAAAGCCAGCCTAGGCAGGAACATCCGTGAGACTCTTA